AGCCCTGGAGCAGTGTAGCCTGTGACAGATGGAGTTGGGGAATAAATGTATTACCCTTGAAGTGAGATCATTCTGGAGCACGTTCTACACGAATCCCAGAGTGGCATAGCTTGAATAGGCTCCAGTTGTCCTCTAGGATGACTGGCTTCTTAATGCACCTTGTACTGGCTTCCTTCCCTCCCTGTCTCATTCCTCCTGCCTACCCCTGTGTCTTGGAATTGCCTCTCGAATAAGCTTCTTATACTCACATTCTCCTCTTAAGGTCAGTTTTGGAAGAATCCAAATGCAGACATACATCAAACTCATATACAAATATAAGAATGTTTACTTGATATGAAGAGCATGTTCCAGACGTTTTATTTTAAAATGTATTCAATGATTCTTTTTAGGGGATTTCTCTGTGAGCTCTCATTTCTATGTATAGCATACCTTTGTTTCCAATTAATTCATTATGTGGCTAGGCTAACGGAGGGGTCAAACACAGCCTGCCTCCAGAGAAAGATAAAACACAAGCAATGGTCCACAGATGTATTTTTCACAAAGTCCTGTCCTGAAGACAGATAATACTATTAGAACCTAGAATCTACAATTAGTATATTTATCAGTAAAATACACACTAGACTGTGATGAATTTACATGTTTGAAGACAAAAGAAAAAAAAAATATGTTCAAGATGCATTCACTTAGCCATTATTTAAAAAGTTTTGTTTTACACAGAGTTCATTTCTATTATAATCAAGCTATTCAATTGAGCCGAACAGGTCATTTCATTTAAGCTCCTAGGAAATGATGGCCTGTTGTGTTACATGAGCATTTTGAGAGGATAATTTGGTTTTGCCATTTAGCAGAGCTGCATACAAGTATTATAAATTGAATTTCAAGTTATATTTGTTTTCTAATTTTATAATTGAAATCAAACTTGGTTAAAAACTTAGCCCTGCCTCGGGGCACCTGGGTGGCTCAGTCGGTTGAGCGTCTGACCTCGGTTCAGGTCATGATCTCACGGCTCATGAGTTCGAGCCCCACATCAAGCTCTGTGCTGACAGCCCGGAATCTAGAGCCTGCTTCCGAGTCTGTGTCTCCCTCTCTCTCTCTCTGCTCCTCCCCCGCTCATGCTCTGTCTCTCTCTCAAAAATAAACATTAAAAAAAAAATTAACCCTGCCTCAGTGCCTTTGTACTTCATGATCCCTCTGCCTAGAATACATATCTCTACATGGCTGCTCTTTCTCACTATTTGGGTGATGGAAAGTCCTTCTTCATCCACTGTTTAAAACTGTGCTGCGCTGTCCAATATAGTAGCCACTGGCCATATGTGGATGTTGAACACTTCAGAGGTACTATATATGTAAAATATACACTAGATTTTAAAGACTTAGTAAGAAAAAGAATGTAAAACATCTCATTAATAATTTTTATATTGGGGCGCCTGGGTGGCGCAGTCGGTTAAGCGTCCGACTTCAGCCAGGTCACGATCTCGCGGTCTGTGAGTTCGAGCCCCGCGTCGGGCTCTGGGCTGAGGGCTCAGAGCCTGGAGACTGTTTCCGATTCTGTGTCTCCCTCTCTCTCTGCCCCTCCTCCGTTCATGCTCTGTCTCTCTCTGTCCCAAAAATAAATAAACGTTAAAAAAAATTTTTTTTTTAAATAAAAAAAATAATAACAATTTTTATATTGATGAGGTGCCTGCGGGGCTCAGTTGGTTAAGCATCTGACTCTTGATTTCAGCTCAGGTGATGATCTCATAGCTTGGTGGGATCCAGCCCGAGTGGGGCTCTGAGCTTGGGGTTGTCTCTCCCTCTCTTCCAGCCCCTTCCCCACCTGCTTGTGCACACACTCTCTCTCAAAATAAATAAATAAACATTTAAAAATAATAATTTTTGTACTCATTACATGTTGAAGTTTTATTTTGGATATATCAAGTTAAAATATATATTACTAAAATTAATTATGCCTTTTTTAATACTTTTCTTAATGTGACTACAGGAAAATTTAATGACATATGTGGCTCCTATTTTGACTTGTGTGGTATTTCTCCTGTTCAGTGATGATCTGAGTCAATGCCCATACCACCCTCAGCACCTGCTTTCTTGTCATCATAGCACTTTATCTCTCTTACGTAAGTAAATTCTAAACTAGTTACTAGAGTACTGGAATTATACAAGTAAATTCTAATTTGCTCACTTGTATACTGTAAGTTCACTTGTCAACCAAACTTACTTGAAACCAGTTTCTGACACATAGCAGAGCTGAAAACACACTTTATGAAATGAATAAATGGAAGAATAAAGGAAAAACTGGTCCACGAGCTTTGTTTCCCTGAGGGCTCTGCCTGTCAATTGCAACTCAACCTCACTGAGTATTTACCAGGTTAGTGAGTTGGACTGGATCTCCCCAGAGGGAGAAAAGGGGCAGTCACACAAAAGAAACAGAACTTGCTCACTGACCATTTCTTAATCCTATTTTGTGGTTTTCTTTATGAAATCACAGTCAGAAATGAAAGACTATTTGGTTCATCTGGGAAGAATGACCATCACACCTAAGACAGATCTAACTGACCAGAGGATTTGCCAATTATTAGGCAGCCAATGACTCAGTCACTAAGGCGATTGACTGGGATCAAAAAGACTGTAACTGACCTTCTGCTTAGCGAACAATCATTACAACAATCAAGAAACTGGAGGTACTTCGTTGGGCTAGAAGTCACCACTAATTGCTGGCCTCTGAGTCTCATAACTGCTGTCAAATGGCTAACAGTGATATAATTAAACTTCATAGTTGACAACCCCATTAAGATGAATGGGAAAGATCACACTTCACTCACTACTATTATTCTTAGATTTGCCTGTCTGAACACTCAAAGAACTTTGTCCAGACCAAGTCAAAACCTACTTACACTTTGCTCACTGAATTGGCTCAGTCCTGTACAGAACATCAAGAGACTGGGCTTCAGCGATCAGAGTGCTCTCTAAGTTATGTGAAAAGTTGTACTCCCCCCGCCCCTTATTATTTTATAATAGAGAATTCTATGTTCAAAGAACATTTCAACTCACTTCCAGAGAGCCTAGGGTTCAAGTTGTGTATCCTGGTCAATGACTTGGAAAAGTTTTAAACAAATTTTTAACCCCTTTCTGTTCTTGTTTCCTGATTTTAGATATGCACACTGCAAAAATAATTTAGTTTCCATGAAAAAAAGACTTCGATTTTTATGCATATACTTTTATAATTATGCCTTCCCTCAGACACAACTTATTTCAAAAAATTTCAAAACGTATCATCCAGTAGGGGCGCCTGGGTGACCCAGTTGATTAAGCATCTGTCCCATTTGATTGCGGCTCAGGTCATGATTTCACAGTTCTGGTTCGAGCCCCACATGGGACTCTGACAGCTTGGAGCCTGGAGCCTGCTTTGGATTCTGTGTCTCCTCTCTCTCTGCCCCTACCCTGCTCGTGCTCTGTCTGTCTCTCAAAAGTAAAGAAACATTAAAATGAAATTTTTTTAAAAACTTATCCAGCATGAATATATAAATAGCAAAGCCTTTTTGGGATCTCTACTGGTCTTTGTCAAAAGCCTAGAAAATTTCAGTTTCAGTAATATTTCGACATTCTTTTCTGGATATCACAAATGTTCAGTTATTTGGAAATGCCTGGGTTATTTAGTAAATTTTTCAGTTTTAATAAATTTTCATTATTCTGAGGACAAGACCTGATAAAGGGCAACACTGCCTTTCTACCTCATACCTAAATGCCTGTAAATTCATCTCATTCTCTGTTCATCTTTTTTTTTTTTTTTTTTTTTTACCTTTAATTCCCAGCTCATCCCACAAACATACTTGCTCATTTTCATCCTTGTTCTTGTTATTCCCCTCCACTGGATGTCTTCCTTTTCCCACTTGTTTCTCCAAACCCTTATTGCCATTGGATCCTGGTTCACTGCCTCCCTACTTCCTGAAGACTGAGCATAGTAATTGACTTCTATTTGAATAACAACAACATGCATAGTTTATTTCACTCCTTTCCTTCCTTTCATCCTTCTTTCCTTCCTTCCTTCTTTTGCCTCCCTGCACTTAAATATTTTCAATGTTTATTTATTTATTTAGAGAGAGAGAGACAGAGCATGAGCAGGGGAGGGGCAGAGAGAGAGGGAGACACAGAATCTGAAACAGGCTCCAGGCTCTGAGCTTTCAGCACAGAGCCCTATGTGGGACTCAAACTCACAAACTATGAGATTCAAACTCACACATCTACCAGATGCACACTCAGGAACTGTGAGATCATGATCTGAGCCAAAGTCAGATGCTTAACCAACTGAGCCACCCAGGCACCCCTCTCCCTCCCCGTATTTGAAGAACACATACTGCGCTTCTGCTAAGCACCAAGACCCAAAGAGTAAGTAAAACAGGCCTGGCTCCTGCCCTCATAAAACTCTTCTAGGGGAAGAGACAGACATTCATCTGTTTATCTTGTCTCTGTAGGTATCTCACAAGCCCCTTGAGGGCAGGAACAACTTTCCATGTTGCAGGGCAAAGTTGGTTCTCAGGAATGCCTCTTAATTGACCCTTGCCCTCTCAGTGAACTTGATATTTATGTTCATAACTAACTTGCTGTATTTGCCTGTAGGACTCTGACTCAGGTTTTCAGTGAACAGTTGTTCACTATCCCCCAGTCAGGGTCTTTTTTTTTTTTTTTTAAGTTTATTTATTTATTTTGAGAGAGAGATCATGAGCAGGGGAGAGGCAGAGAGACAGGGAGAAAGAGAATCCCAAACAGACTCTGCACTGTCAGCACTGAGCCCGATGAGAGGCTTAAACTCACCAACCATGAGAACATGACCTGCGCTGAAACTTAGAGTCCTGCACTTAACTGACTGAGCCACCCAGGCACTTATCCGCCCCCTCACCCCAATCAGGGCCTTCAACCTTTCTAGGGAATGAATACAGAGGAAGTGAAGGTGTGAGTCTGTCTTGAAGAAGCTGCCAAGATAGTGGCCAAAAGACATTGCTTACACTTCAAGTTCTGTGATTCTTCCTCCTCCAAGCATGGTCCGTGCTGTACATGAACTCCTTCAACCAAAGGTGTTGACTTCACTCTTCCTGCACAGAGCAGTCCTGAGGCCTGATTCAGGAAATCTTCCTTGGGAAGATTTATCTAGGCGTGATAAAATCCAGTTAACAAACGTGTGAATTCATCCCCAAAAGATCTTTTCCATCTAAAGTTTCTGTCTTCAAAATGATTCCAAACAGATAAAGTAGCAAGTTTCTCTTAGTACGTATAAATGTGAGTTAATGTCCCAGAACTCAAATAATTGATTGTTTTCATATAAGGTCCCAAAAGGCACTGGGACACCTTCCTTGACTTTTTGCATTTACTTCCCTCAGGATCCCTGAAATCAAGCTAAGAGAGACAACCTGAGACTGAAACCATAGAAATGAATAGAGAGTAATTTAAGATTGTCAGTGCTGAGTGTCATTTGTGCAGCAGATGAGTCTCCCTTGGAACGCTGTCAATTGTGCATTTGCCACTTGGAGAGGCGTCTGTTCCTTTAGAATGTAATGTTCTTAGAGCAGAGACCTATTGAGAATATCTTCGTACTGCAGTTAGCACTAACTTTTATGTTCCTGGAAGTTGGTCAACCCCAAGACTAAATAATAAACTTCAGCATCATGAGAACCATCGCTATAAACTCTAAGTCACTTTCTAGTAAAAGCTTCTCTCTCTCTCTGAGGCTTTCAGATCTCCCTTCCCAGACAAGGGAACAATAGGGGTGCAGTGTAGGAGATTGAGGAAGAGGACTGCATTTAGAACATGGTTTGCTTATTTTACCATAAACCCACTTGACTTAATTTATCTACATGCCATGCAGTTTGTAGTTGAAAGAAAGAGAGAGAGAAAGAAAGAAAAAGATCCTGAAAATATCAATAGAGTAACCAAAGAAGGAAAATGACCTTTGAGTTAAATTTCTACCTTCTCTGGATTTTGTTACTAAGGGCACCTCCTCACCCCCCAGTGAGGGGGAGGGGTTAGCGGCCAGCTTCATTAGCCATAATAATAATTACACACACTTTCCAAGAGGCTTTTATCCCCAAGGCTTGAAGTGCTCTATAAACATTAATTAATTTAAGCTCTGGGTAGTCCAGTGCCATTATGTCTTTTGTAAAGAAGCGTAAACAGAAGTGCACGGAAGTTAAGTGGTTTCCACCAGGTTCATTTCAGCCAGTCACTGTATGGCTGTGAACAAAATTGGGCCCAAGTGACAGCCTCCAATGCCAGGCACAGGCACTGGAGGCTATGAGGGAGAAAAGGAAAGGGAGATTCTGCAAAGTGTGGGAAGGTGAGGAAATGGCTAACTTTAAACCAAAGTAACAGGTAAACAAGGCAGCACAGCTGGTAAAAGGGACCTCGGAGTGGAGAAGATACCTGTGCCCCCCCCCCC